GCGGCACCGACAGTAAAATCAACGAGAAACGTAACAATATCAACAACAATTTAGAGGAAAGTGAGTGTGAGTATATTCAGAAGAGAGTTAGGAATCACGAAAAAAGTTACAAAAATTATTGCAGAGTAGCTGCAGAGTTGCTAGATTCTCCAGAATTTGTGAATCAGCATTTATTGAAGTTCTTAATAAAAATGTATATATTTTTTATTAATTAGAGTTTTCCTAATTTAGCTTTATAATTAATTCGAATGCATAATTTCTTCCATATAATTTTTAGGTTTTTTTATAATCTTGTGATTTTATTTGGAGATTTTATTGAAAATTATTGATTTCATTGGAGATTCTATAGTTTTGTTTAATAAACAAAGAAAATAAAATCAACTTAAAGTTAAATAAAAAATAACACTTTATTATTCTTAGAATTAACTTTCATTTAACTTTTAAATAAAATCTTATCAGTTTCTCACTTTCGTCAGAAAAAGATTGATTTCAAAGAATTTGCAAACCAGAGAAACAGCTCAATAAATCTGGGACAAATCTAATAAATCGAGTTAAATATATATATATTATATATGTGTGTGTGTGTGTGTGTGTGTGTGTGTGTGTATAAAATGCATATGATATAATTGTTTGAATTATACAGTCATCGAGGAACCTAGAAGTTGCCCGGAATTAGAAACTATCGAGTGGCGATGCCGAACCGTAGATAATTTGGCTGGCGACACGTCTCGGATGCTCTATGTGCCCTGTGTGAAACTGCAGATCTGCAAAGCTTGCGTAAGTTATATAGCCCCTCAATTTTATGTTACAGATATTTTTAATAATTTAAAACTTAAGGAATGTTATAGAAAAATTCTGAAAAATTCTAAAATGTATCCAGAAATTCTGAAAAATTATACAAAAAAAACACTAAGAAAAATTGTTATCAGGAAACTCTATTAAGATAGGTCCAAGATTTAAAGAACACTCCGCTCTAATTCCCTGTTCCGTACGGAAAGGCTACAGCAAACTGATTTTTATTAGACGCAAGACGAGGAGGGACTATTACCCTGCCTCGCCAACTTCGCCCTGGAGGCCGGCAAGGTTTGCGACGCGTTGGAATCCAGAGACGAGCAGCCGCGGATGACGGCGATGCACGAGGGCGAGAGGCAGTCGTGCGCAAACACCGCGTTGCTGCTGTCGCAGCTACATCCGCCCGGAGCGGCGACCACGCAATGTCGCGAGCGGAATGCCCGCGACTCGTGTTTGCGGCGATATCACGCACGATACGAACACCGATACTTCCGCACGTCGCCAGCGTACGAGGGCACCGGGCATCGCTCCCACCATGAAGGCGCCCTCGACTCGTTGCAGCAAACCATGTACGAACGCTAAGGATCAGGCGAGCGAGAGGAAGCCACCCCGGTTCGGTCGCGCGATACGGTGGATCGCCAGTTATCCGGATTAACCGGGTATCACCTGAGTACCGAGTCCCTCTGATGATCCGATTGAATGTGAACAGAGATTTTTAATTTATGTCGAAACTGTGTTGTTGTTGCTTACATTTGTTATTATGTTCAATCATTTTTGGCCTACGTTTCTTTTCTACTTAGAAGTTTTGTCCGGATAATCGGCGGTTTACTATTATTAACCTTGCCCTTTGAGGACCGGTGCTTCTGATAAAATAACTTATGGAACATTTTGTTTTCTGAGTATTTTTGGAGCCGCTGGATTCGATTCTGGCCTTAGAATTATAAAATTTAAATTCCAAAAAATAGTCCGATTATCGTAAAATTCGGTTTTAAAAGAATTAAGTACGTTTGCGTTTAAATATAGCCTGAAAATATCGAAAAAGGATAATAGTCTTCGTAAATGAAGATTTAGTGTCACAAGGTTCATAATCAAAATTTGAAAGTCAGTTTAGAAATCAGTATTGTTTGTGTAGTACTGATGAGCTTGAAATAAAGTAAAATTGAAAATTTGATGTTATTCTTCGCATTTAAAAACTCCCTAAGAGTTTTATGACGGTCAAATTATTTTTTTAAGTTTCGCTATATTAAATCCATCATTTTTTTTTTAGAATTTTTTATTTTTGATCTCAGAGATTCGAATAAAACATCAAATTATTTCATAGCTTCATAAGTTAAGCTTCTTTATGAAGCTTTATTCGAGCAAGCAGTTTATTAAATAAAAAGAAGTGACTTCAAATGGGATCGCCGGTCCACAAAGGGTTAAAGAATCTTCCGTCGTAATGAAGCATGAATTAAGATTAATCCTCACAAAGTATCATCCACACAGCACAGATTTCCAAAGCTAGGAATGTACAAGATCATAAAATTATCTGATATCCAAAAAGAATGTGACACCGGATGTGTCACATTCTACACCTATAACTAGTCGAATATCCGGTACAATATAATTCTCAAAAATTCTAAAAAGAAAGGAAAGCAAGGGAAAAATGATTAAACTTCTTGCACAGTTCATCTTTCTCCTTTTCCTTTTCACGTTGGGAAGATAAAGAAAATTATTATCGATATTTTTCTCTTGCTTTCCTCTTTCTTTAGAATTTGATATCCGGAAAAATATCTGGTTATCTGACCGAATATATAATTACGGATATCCGATGTCACATTCTTTTCGGATGTCCCATATCTGATATCTAGTAATTTTACGGTGCATCCCTTGTTTTAATCATGAAGATGCTGTATGTATGGTACCAGTTGTGAGGATTAAGCGATGCACGAAGAGTCATTCTCGAATCGAATTAAAATGGATCAGAATGATCGACAGAGACGTATTAATTTTCTCAGAATGCTGGAAAAAAGTAGTACGCAGAAAAAACAATAATTTTGCAAATGTATAATTTTGTATTCGGAAAAAAAGACATAGTGGTAATAATTATAAAGATGACAGATATAAGTTTTATATGTAGAATTAATGTATACATTTGATAATTAAACTATTTTTTATAATTATTGCAACTATTAATAGTTTATTTAATTATGTCAATATATTCAACTTATATACACTGATTCTACTTATTTAACTTGCAATTGTCACCTTTACAGTTGTCATTATGTTTTTTTTTTTCTGAGTATGGAGTTTCCGTTTATCCGTTTCTTTTCGATTCGAGATCTCAAAAATACGATGATACTCGATGTGAAACAGCATTTTTTGCATATGATGCGTATAAATTCCTCGTCAGAGCGAGATTTCAAAATCCTGAATTAAAAAATTATAAAAAAGTATAAGAAAAAGAAGATGATGTCTAATTATAGCAAATTGATGCATTTTATTTAAAAAAAAAAACAAGTTTATGAAAAAGGAGAGAATAGATATATCTGTAATTAAGGGAATAAGATGTTTTATCTTATTTGCGAGGTGTGCTATCCCAAGCCGAACAGTAAGTCACCTTGACATCAAAATGATGTCAAAATAACTCCAAGACGATCATTAAAAAAAGTCATTTTTCTATATATTATCTATCTAATAATTTACGATTCATTTTAATATTATTTTTACATTATCGTGACTTATCGTTCTGCTTGGGATTCGTCTGGACGGTTTTCTGAAAATACGTCCACTCTTTCTCTCCTACATTGAACTGAACAACGATTAACGAGTTATAAAGACAATAATAATGATATCTCTGACAGAGATTTTATTCGCACGACGACTGATCGTAACGAAAATCGAACTTCGCAAACGTTCGCCACCGAAAAAGATCGCAAAATTTTATCGAACGAGTGTTTAGACGAACGCCTCGCAAATGAAAGTCGAAAGGACGAGAGCCGATGACCGTAAAAAAAATATATGTGTAAACTATTGTGTTAAGTACCCCAAAAAGAAAAAAAATATTGTAACAAGCGCATGTGTCTCTCTTTAGCGCATTAATTTTCCGTGCTCGCGCAAATCAGAATTACATTAGCGCGATTATTCGCGTTTAATTTCTCGCAGACAGTAGTTACACGCGGAATCGCCAGTTCAACGCGTTTTTCAACGCCAGGAGACGTGATGAAAGAAAGAAGAATATAAAGATAGAGAAAAAAGAAAGGATACTTGACGCGGCTTCCAAAGAGTCTATCTTCGTAAATCTATATCTATTATTACTGTCTACTATATCAAATATTTACGTTACACGGCGTTATACGAATATCGATACGCATATCGATGTGTTAGTCGATGTGTCAGTATATTCGAAATATAATAAATACATTTCAACATAAATACGCCCGTTTTGCAGTTCAATGTCTCAACATAAACCTTGTATACGCTCATAATTTTGCAATATATAATTTTGGCTAAAAATGTTAGGCATCCTTATTAATATAAAATTTTAACTTAAAAATTGATTTATGATATTTGTTATATATTGTTCTTTGTTTCAAAAGTTCTTTATAAATTTATGTATAATGCCGGTATCAACAGATAACAATAAAGATAAAAGAAATATAGATGAATGTAAAAAATATAAGTTCTAATTTTGGCCAAAACTACACATACACACACAGTTGAAAAATTTGTGTTAAATATAACATCTCAATCATCGGTCCATTCAAATTTTTAATTTGAAAAGAATATTAATTTAATTTAATTTGAGATGAATATTAGGAAGTAACATAAATATTATGCAAAAAATTAACAGAAAAAATACAGCACTGGTACAATTTATCAGCAAATTGTGGAAGCATATTTCTTCAGCAAAACAAATTAAACTATATATATTATATACATATATAATATGGTATATTAAATTAAATGATCATATTTTATTCATTTTACTTAGAATTTAAGTTTTAAAATACATTATTTTTATGTTATTTGTTATTTACTCTTTTATAAATTATGTTATATATTTAAAACTAAAAGAAATATACTGAATATCAATTTAACACAATATATTCAAATAACACAATATATTATATTATATTAAATTATTATCACTCGATATGTTAAAAATTCAACACAAAAATTTTAACAAGAACTAATTTAATACAAAAACAATATTCTTTACCGCATACCTGATTATCGCGCGATTCGATACCATCGCCATCATTCGGCGGATCGACGGAATCCGCGGATGCAGAAATGTCCTGCAGAGCTTCTAGTATCTGTAACAATTGCGGCTTGTAGAGCTTCAGATACTCCAACTGTAGCTTTGCGCAATCAACTGCAACAAGTCGTATTGTTTATTTTGAACATCAATATTCTTAATTATACCTTTCCGAACAGAATTTTTGGAGATTTTCGAAGAGCACTTACTCGCTAACTTCGACGCCTGTTCATATCTAATTTTTAGCTCCATCTGCACTTCACTAAGTTGGCGGATTATTTCCTCGTAAGACATCGGCATGACAGCCGATGAAGTTAACTGACCCTAATTAAAAATATATTAAATTAACTTTAACTTATTTTATTTATTTATATTAAAATTTAAGTCATAAAATACATTATTTTTATGTCATAATATGTTATTTGTTTAAAACAAATAATAATAAGTAATTTACTTGTAATTATTTTCTTAATTTTAATTTTATTTTTGCTTTATGTAATGTTGTTAATTGTAATATATTCTTCGGTTAATTTCAAAGAAATGTGTCGACTCTTTGCCCTTTATTTATTGTTATTTGTTTTGTATAGGAAGAGTCCTTAGATTTGTTAGTTATTTGTTTACTTACTCATAAATTGTTATTTTAATATTTACAAAAAATTGAATATCAATTTAACACAAAATATTTAAATAAGACATTAAATTGAATTAACATTATATTGAATTATCATCATTCGGATATTAAAAATGCATGCAAATATAAAATATAGGTTTGTCGCGTCGCATGCTCCAACATGCTCCAATATGCTTCTATCATATCTCGTACTCACTTCAATGCTCACTCATTAGAGTGAATAGGATCTATGGCAAGGAGTATATTGGAGCATGTTGGAGCATGCGACGCACACAAACTTTATGTTTTACTGTATACCTGATCCTCATTAAGATCCATAATTCGCTAATTTGCTCTCCTGATGCAGCTAATACAAAGAGAAATCTCTTATTACGAAAAGAGCAACGGTTTTCAGCGTTTTCGTTTTCACGAGGAATAATTTATTTGCCACCGACAGTGTCACCAACGTAACGGCTGCGTTCAGCGGACTCAACAGTTGAGTGAGTGCCCGCTGCTATTGATGTATTCTTCCAGATCTAAAATGCTGATTGGATGATCTAAAAGAATACACTAATAACAGCGAGTGTTCACTCAACTGTTGAGTCCGCTGAACTCAGCCAACATTGACGCGTTCAAATTACTGGTCTAAAGAGAAAACGCGTTAAATTTTGACTGGTTATTTTAGATTTTCTTTTTGACGCTTTAACTCTTGTACTTTAAACTATTACAATAATTTTCTGTTCTTATATTTATTATATCTACGACTTAACATTATATATGTTAAATATGTTACATATATGTTATATATGTTAAAATCAGCAACTTTTAATACAAATGTACTGTTTTTATATTTTATATTTATTGTTTTTCCGTCGATCCGACCTTTGTTTTAAACGTTTGTTAAATATATACAGGGTGTTAATTAAATATGTTGTCATACTCAACAATTCTTTGATTTATTTCAAGAAAGAAGTCCATATAAACATGTGTCCTAAACGACTTAGTTTCCGAAATACAGATGAATGTTCGCAAATGTTTATCGAAACGGTAAATTGCGATGGAGATATCATCTTGTACAAATATGCCTTGCTTCACGTGAGTTACAATTCGCACAACCGTAAACAAAGTGACAAAATCAAAGTCAAAGAAATCAGCAGACTTAAATCCTTTGGATTATTTCCTTTGGGGGCAGCTGAAATCATTGGTTTATATCATCTCAATTGAGAATGAGAATGATTTGAGGAATCGAACAGTTGCTTCATGTGAGGCAATACGTAACACACCTGGTATCTTTGAGCGTGTACATCAATCTTTGAGAAGAAGGCTCGATGGATGTATAATGATAACATTTTCAACAATTCATCTAATTGTTTTATTTCATCAGAAGAACTGAAGCCTGTTTTTGTTTTTCTGTTTTTGACTAGTTTTTGATTAGTTCAAGCTGTATTTCTTTCAAATAAAGAGATTATTACTACATGTTTAAATTTTTTTATTTCAGACTAAGCCGTTTAGGACACATGTTTATAGATTTTTTTACTTAAAATAAACCAAAGAATCGCTCTGTTGAGCAACATACTTAACTAACACCTTGTATATTCGTTACTCCGAATGATTTAGACAGAGTTCAATATACCAAATCTACATAAAATGTATTATAAAATATGATTATTTGTGAACATTAATATATCATCCAAGTTTCATGAGAAGATTTGGCGATCGTGTGGGTGAGTTACTCGTTACTTTATTGGTTAATTTTAAA